GTCAAGCCGTCGGCCTCATTGCCATCGGCCTCACTAGTGGTCCAGACGTCTAGTCACTGTCGGCCTCATCGGTCACCGCCCTGCCTCACCGCTTGTGCCTAATCGGGTTTGCGGGTCAAGTTGGGTCAACCTGGTAACCCGTGCGGGTCGGGTGCAGGTTGAAAATTCTGACCCATTTAGCTAGTCGGGTTGGGTTCGGGTCAACCCGTTTTTGCCCGAGTTAACTCGGGTTGGACCTGAACCTGACCTGTTTACCCGAATTGACACCCCTATTAGGTGGTTTTATTCTAGGATCAAGTTGTCATGCAATTTTTATCACTTCATTTTACTAAAATTGCAAATTTTCTTTATGGATATTTCTTTGTAGTTTGAACTAAATAGGACATTCTTTTGGGTACCTATTAGTAATATAGGTAACTGTACTAAAATGTGACTCCTTGAAATTTTGAACAGCAAAATAAAATTTAGAAGAATGAAATTTTTGGCTTATTAGCAAATTTCGTACTTCAATATGAAAATAGCAAATTCAACATCCTAGGCAAGAACTATTAGCTTCATGAAATCAATATTAAGACCGTCCCCTTCTTTTGGTGTGATTGAGTGCGTGGGACGTTTACCATTATGGTGTCAAAGACGAATGAAATTGTGAGAGAGACAAAAGGGCATGGGAGACATCTCATGTTTGATGCTTTAGATTCAATGCCGAGATGGGTTTTTGTTGGGGGGTGGGGGAGGGGAGTTGAAGTCGAAGTTGAGAGAGGGAGAGGTTCGATGCCCAAAAGTCGAAGTCTAAACTGATAGAGGGAGGGACGATCCGAGCTATTCAACAGGCTGATAAAATTTAAAATATTTTAATTGAGCTATAATAAAATAATATAAATATTAAATTTAGTCCTTAAATTTTTAAAAAATAAATTGCTTGCGCTATGGGGGCCTTGTGCAATGCATCATTTCACATGCATGACGCAATAGCACACGTCATTTTCAACGCCCTGTGTTGTGCCACACTGTGTTATAGCAGGCCTTATTTTGTGTTATTGAAATGTATTCTACCTTCTATTTACTATTATATCAATATATTGAATATGAAGCAACGAGAAAGGATGAGTCCCTCGATTTTTTGAATAATCCAATATATATATATATATATATATATATACATAACAAGTTTTTACTTTTCCACGTTTCTTACCATGCATTGTAATTATTTCATCATGTTGATGTACGTGTAATGCTACAAATTCTAAAGTTAAAATGCATCACTGAAGAAATTTTATCAATCAATTGGTGGAATAAGAAGTGAAGTTTATGTCGTTTTTAAACCCTTTATCTCCAGTAGATATTATTTGCTTAACAGAAGTTATGACTGCTGTTTTTTTTTCACCTATTTTTCAAAATGCACATGGCTGAACTTACAAATGGCAAAAATCCTCATCAGCTTCACCTTATAATTTTTTTCTTTTAACAGCTTAATGTATATGTTAGTTTTTCATCAACAACTATTGCTTGTACTTTGATGTAATAAAAAATTTGGAAAGGGCCCCAAATTTTTTATTACAAAAACATAACCTTACTAATCTTTAAAAACATACATGGGATAAGAAAATACAAAAAAGAAGAGACAACTTAGAAACTTTAAAACAAACTCTTACATTTCAAAACATATAAAAAGAACACATACAAACATAAAGAAACATTTACAACCTTCAAGACCAAACTTAAAACAACCTAAAGGTGCTTTTCTTTCATTTAGAAGAAGGATACAAGTGGAAGGGATACTTGTGGGTAGAAGAAGGATTAGAAGCCAAGATGAAGGATAGTAGTAACTCGCAAGTTATCCCAAGATAGAGAAGAAGAATAAGTGGACAAAGCTCTCAAGCTTTTCTAAGAAAAATCATCAGTTTTTCATGTCCAAAAATTAGCATACATCCATCCCTTTAACATCCCAAAACACCTACTATTTATAGAAGAAAAGGGCACCCTTCTGACGACATCCATCTGTCCATTGGACTTTGAATTTCAGAATCTTCTGGGTTGTTTTCTTTTTTGACTGAATCGATCTTTTTGTGATTTTCCATTTTTTTTATAAAAACTCAAAAAGAAATTTAGATTCAAAGAAAGAAAGAATCAACCTAAAGAAACCTAGACTCTCACAACAACTGTTATGACTCACTAAGACACACACAACTTGATCTGATACCAAACTGATGTAATCAAAAATTTGGGAGAGGGCCCCAAATTTTTGATTACAAAAGAAAACTCTTCATAGATAATAGAATATTACAAGAACTCACAAAAACTAGACAATTTGTGACAAAAGCAAACTTTACTATTATAAGAGATGCTTACAGGACGCTTACAACTTTGACTTACAAACAACACATAAACATAAAAATACACATAAAGTTGCTCTTCTTTTCATGAGACGAAAGATATAGATGAGGTGGCACTCGCGGCGAGAAGAAAGAGGTTAGAAGCCAAGAAGAAATGGAGGAGAAGCTCGCAAGCTTTCCTAGACGAGGAGAGGAAGAAATGGCATAGCTCGCAAGCTATCCAAGAAAACCATCAGGTTTCTTTCCAAAAATCAGCACCTAACCAACCTTTTATTCATATAAAATACCTTATACTTATAGGAGAAAGAGGGCAGCCAAACAACCACCTAAATTAGGGAATATGGAAGACTAAAAAACACCAAATAAAAGGCCAAAAGACAGCAAACGGAAGGCCAAAAGACAGCAAATCTGCTGCAGGAAAACTGCACTGAAAACAGAGAAAATCACATGGAATTCCCCCCTAAACAGCCACCAAACAGCAGCTCCCATACGGTACAGCAAAACGGAGAAGAAAAGCCACGGGAACCAAGCAGAAAAGCCACGGGAACCAAGTAGTCAGCCGCAGGAACTAAGCAACCATCCACGGAAACCAAAGGGCCAAGGCACGGGAACCAGCCAGCCAGCCACGAGAACCAAGCAGCCATCCACGGGAACCAAAGGGCCAAGGCTCGGGAACCAGCCAGCCAGCCACGGGAACCAAGCAGCCATCCACGGGAACCAAAGGGCCAAGGCACGGGAACCAGCCATCACAGGAAACCGAGAAGACACAGAGGAAACCGAGAAGACAAAGGGAGGAAAACCGAGAGGAAGCATGGGGAAGAGAAAGGGGCAAGATCCACCATAATGAGCTTCCACTAAACTTAAATAAATGAGCTAAACTTTAGCTCATTATGAGCTAACCAAGAGCTCAAAATTAATGAGCTAAGAAGTGCAATAAATCCCCCAATCATTGAGCTAAACTTTTGCTCAAACATTTATGAGCTAAAACCAAGTAAAATTCTAGTATTTTGAGCTCAATACTAAGCAAACAAGACTCACCCGAGAACACCAGAAGCCCAAGGGTCAAAACAAATTCTTGTCTTGTTTTGACCCCCCATTTGCATTCATCAGATACTCCCCTTCTTGAAAAACTCATCTCCCGATGAGTTGTCTTTTGATTTGATCGGAGGAGACGGTGAGAGTGCATCTAACTCTTGAATCTTAGACTCGAATTTCTTCAGGATTTCTTCTTTTTCTTTTTTGAATTGGTCTTGAAGAAACTTCTTCCTTTTCTCGTATTTCTCATCACATAAGAACATTAGATATTGAATTTTATACAACTTGTTTTGTAGCGGATCTGTTGAATCTCCTTCAGTCGGAACCCATCTATCCATCGGAAGAGGGACTTCAAGATCTTCTGGATTGCTTTCTTCTTTGACTGAATCGATCTTTTTGTGATTTTCCATTTTTTTTTATAAAAACTCAAAAAGAAACTTAGACTCAAAGAAAGAAAGACTCAACCTAAAGAAACCTAGACTCACACAACAACTATTATGACTCACCAAGACACACACAACTTGCTCTGATACCAAATTGATGCAAGCAAAAATTTGTGAAGGGCCCCAAATTTTTGCAAGCAAAAACTAAAGCTTCCTAAGTAATAGAAAAGACACAAATTTCCCAAAGACTAGACAAAATACAACATTTAAAACAAAAACGACTTCTCTTTATAAAATAAAATGACTTACAAACTTAGACACTTACAAATGACACAATAAAAACAACGACTTCCTAATAATGCTTTTCATTCCATTAGAAGGAGGATATAAGTGGGGTGTAAACTTGCGGGTAGAAGAAGAGATAAGAAGCCGAGAAGGAGGCATAACTTGCAAGTTATCCTAGAAGAAGGAGAAGGGGATACATAGCTCGCAAGCTATCAATCAAAGTCCATAGGTTTTCTTCCAAAAATCAGCCACATAACCATCCCTTTAACATTCCAAAACACCTATTTGTAGAATAAAAGGGTAGTCAAACAGCCACCTAAAACATTAATTAAAACCTATTAGATTTAGGGAAATGAAAGACCAACAGCCATAACACATCAGTCCCCAAATGACACAGCAAAACAGAGAAGAGAGGTCACGGGAACCAAGCAGAAAAGCCACGGAACCAAGCAGCCAGCCGCGGAACCAAGCAGCCAGCGGCAGAACCAAAGGGGCAAAGGCACGGGAAATTCACCCAGCACAGGAAACAAAGGGCCACAGCACAGGAACAACAAAAGCCCAAGATAATCCGAGGAGACAAGGAGGAAAACGAGAAGGTAGTATGGGGAAGGGAAAGGGCTAATTTCTCATAATAATGAGCTACTATATTAGTTCAATAAATGAACTAAAAACAGCTCATAATGAGCTAAATTTCAGCTCAAAGAATTAATGAGCTAGCAAGTCCAAGAGTAGTCAAAACCAAAATTTAGGATTTGATTTGACACCCCCCTTGCCTACATCATACTTCGAACAAAAAAATATTTTTGGAAATAGCCTCCTGGTAAACTATAATTGCTTATAATAAATATTGATCTCGTGGTACTGATGAAATTGTTTCCCTTAAAAGTACTTTTTTCAAATAACATCATGCCAATCAATGTCTGTAGGCATTTGTCAATGAACTATATGATTATTATATTTACAGATCATTTCAGAGATGCAGCAAGAGCAGAAGATGCTTTGGCTCTTTCTTATGGGAGTGAGTTAATTGGAATGCAGAGGGACTGGAATGAAGAATTACAGTCTTGTCGGGAGTTTCCTCATAGGAGTCTTCAGGAAAGGTGCAAAGTGTGTTCATATTACCTTGTGAACCCATAGTTTCTAGCTTAGCTTTTATCTTTAGCTTTTATCTTTCAAGTGGACGATAATTACGCTGTTTGCAATCCATGAATTTCTTTTTGCAGGATCTTACGTGACAGGGCACTTTATAAGGTCACTTGTGATTTTGTAGATGCAGCAACAAATGGTGCAATTGGAGTGATAAATAGATGCATTCCTCCTATTAATCCAACCGATCCAGAGTGTTTCCACATGTAAGCAAATTTAGAGAATGCTCTATAAATCCTTATGCCGCTGTAATGATGATATAGTAATTGTCTAAAGATTAACATTATCAGTTTTAGGTGCATATGCATTACTGTGATCCAATGAACCATACACTAGCAACTATGAAATACAATTTGAGACAATAATATGCTCAACTTTTCTATGCAATATCTCAAATTATTAATGCTGATCCTCATAATATGTGGTTCAATCAAAATTGCATGCATTTAATTAGCTTGACTTGTGTTTGTTCTTACACATGTGAATGCCTTTTTTTTTCCCACCCTTACGGTCAATAATTTGGATAGCTTGAGAAGGGTAGGGATGGCCATTGAGGTTTGTGATGGAGTTCGGAAATATCTTGAAATTCAATTAACTAGATAATTAATAATGCAATGATGCTAATGTGAAAATTAGATTACTAAACAACAAACGCTAGATTTATAGCAGTTTAGCAGCTAATTCCTATGCCCATTTTATTGGGAGAGTAGAGTTGTTCAGTATTCAACGAGAGTTAGATATATGTTACATAAGATTTATGAAGAAAAGTAGGAAGACTTTTGAAGCCGAGATTCTCGTTTGCTTGGAAGCCTTCTCTAGTGGATGTTGAGTGGATTCTACTCATTTGAACTTGAGAGCATTTCAAAATTGGGAGTATATGGTTGCGTCATAATGTTCTCAGATTTGAAAGGCAATTTCTCTTGTTTGAAGGAGTTTGCTCTCTTCTTATTGTTTCCTTCTTTCTCCATGATCCTTATTTCTCCCTTTCTCAGGTTATCTCTATTTCTCTCTTTATTCCAGCTTCGTTCTTGATTCTCTCTATTTGTCCCCCTTCCAATGAGCTGCACAAAGGGATTTTATAATTGTGAAAGAACCTACGTGGTTACTGTCTATTATGGAATGCCTGGGCTATGAAGGTGATAACGGGAGTTTAAGAGCATGCAATGTTGGATAATAACTACGGGTGGCAATGATTTTTCTGAAGGGGAGGAGTCATTAATTTTCTTTGATTAAAATCATAAGTGCATACTTTATGAGAGGCATAGTAGCTAGGATATCATTATGGAATGCCTGGGCTCTCCAAAGCTTAAACTAGGATATCATCGAAGAATACCAACACAAATTGCCTGAGATAGGGCCTGAAGACCTTATTCATGAGGGATTGAAACATGGCTGGAGCGTTAGTGAGGCCAAGACATCACTAGAAACTCATAATTCCTTTCATGAGTTCTGAAAGCAGTCTTGGGCACATCCCCTTCCTTATCCTGATCTGATGATATCCCGACTTTAGAGCTATTTTGGTGAAGATAACTACCTCACTCAACTTATCCAACAGCTCATCTATCACTAGTATGGGAAACTTGTCTGGCACAATTTTATTATTTACTATCCTATAGTCCACACAAAATCTCCTACTCACATCCTTTTTCGTAGCCAATAATATTGGGCTAGAAAAAAGACTAACACTTGGTCTGATAATTCATGTCTCCAGCATATATCTAGTCAATTTCTCAATCTCATCCTTCTGAAATTGAGGATAGCGGTAGGGTTGGACGTTGATAGGTGACACACTTTCCCTCAAGTTGATAGCATGCTCCTGTTCCCTTTGTGGCGGCAATCCCTGCGGTGGTTGAAAAGCCTCGCTGGATTAACGACTATACTGAAAGAGGAATTTCCCCTCCTTCCTCCAACTATGCCCCTCCAGCCTATGTAGCTCCACCAGAAATACTTCCCCCACCTCCTATATACTTCTAACCATGGTTTTAAGAGGTATTATGGCTTTGGAGAGCCCTGCATCTCCCCTTATCACTACCCTTCTCCCATCCACTACAAGCTGCATCGTCAGGGCCCCCCAGTTGACCTTGGTGTCACCCAAGATTTGCATCCACTTTATCCCCAGGATGACGTTAGTGCTCCATAACTCCAGTGGAAAAAAAATCCTCCCTCACTTGAATCCCTTGTATGACTAGCACCAATCCTCTACAGATCCCCTAGCCTTTTTCCACCTTACATGTACCCATCATCACCCCATAATAACTAGTATCCAATATCCACCAATTTCACTCCCAATTGATCGACGATCTAAGTAGAAATTAAATTGTGGGTAGCCCCACTGTCAATCAGCACTACACCTCCTTGTCATCTATTTCCTCCTTCACCTTTATGGTAAGATTCAGAGTGAATCCTACCATCGAGTTCAGGGAAACCTCTGCCATGTCCAGATGCATCTTATCGTCCATCTCTCTCTTTACCTCTCTCTCACCTCCCCCAACTTCTTTGTCATCACAGACAGTGAGAACTTGAAGAGTTCGGTCCATACAGTAATTTCTGTTGAAGAAATCAAACTAACGGAAGAAATAAATATACAATTGATCCTCAAATCGAAAGGAGGATCGTTCTCTTCCAATCCCTAGACGAATCTAGGGCCCAAGACACCAAGAGCAAGAACTCCAAAATAATCCACAAAACAAAGCATAACCCTAACCTTAATCCTTCCCCACCTGTCACATACTACCAACATCATCCCCACCTGTCACATACTACCAACATCATCAATTATGCCAAATGCATTCAATGAGTATATAATACTTCATAATATGTAATCATCCTTGTATATTTTAGTTTCTCAGATAACTTCATTTGTCCAACCTTAGAAAGTGCCATGTCCATATGGTTAGGTTTAAGTCTATAGCCCGTAGGCACTTGAGGTCGCGCTATCTCTATCGCCGTAGGCTTCATACCATAGTTTGATTTCGCACTGCCTCTATTGCCCGTAGGCTTCTTATCATAGTCTGTATGCTTCATATCATACCGAGGTCGCACTGCGCATTTAGGTCGCATAGTCCATTCACCTACAACCTCACATGATACATTCTCAGTCTTTTACTCCTTTGGAAAATACCAAAAGAATAGGGCACATCACCACTGACTACTCATAATAGTTTAGTGAAAGATACAGGTGGAAGGAAAATCACGGAGAGAAGAAGTAGGAAGAAGACCGAAACGAAATAATAGGGGATAGGTAGAGTACCAGCTCGCAAGCTAAAAAAAAACCCTCAGGTTTTTTAATTGATCACATTCCAAAAACTCTTTTTCTTAGAAGAAAGATACAGGTAGAAGGAAGGGGAAGACTACCTCACAAGCTAAAAAAATCCTTAGGTTTACATTTTTTCTTTTCAAAAACAGCTTTTTGCACAAAGGAAATTATAGGAGAGAAGGGGGAATAGCATTTAATAGATCACATAAATGTGCCCCCAAAACAACTAATAAAAACCACCCAAATCAGCCCACAAGATGAGAAGACAAAGCATTCTACATAAGGAGACAACAAGTGGAAAATCGAGCAGCCAACAACAGGGAAACCGAGTGAACAACAGCAGGGAAACCGAGTGAACAGTAGGGAAACCGAGTGGACAGCAGCAGGGAAACCGAGAAGACATTAGGGAAAACAAGAATCCAGTAGGGAAACCGAACAAGTAGCTAGTAATTGAAATAGCTAGTAATCGAAACAGGTAGCAGAGAATCCAAGCCTACAACAGGGAAAATGAAAAGGCAACAGAGAAACCGAAAAGACAGCCAGAAAAACGAACAACCACAGTAGAAAAGGAGCAAGAAATCCTTTGGTTCCATTATGACAAATGAAAGATCCATATTTGGTAGTTGCATATGGTGCAATACCTAAGTTGATGACGAAGTCAGCAGCCTGTTTCTTTTATATGCCTGAGGAAATATTCATTTTGGTTTTCAAAAGCTTTCCTTCTTGATAGTGTTCACCTTGCATAGATGAAAGCCGATGATTTATTTGATGAAAATAAATCCTTGTTCTACCTTTTCTAAGTAGTTGGATCAATAGTGAAGAAGTGATGCTAAAGAAACTTAACCCTTTTCCCTCATAGTTTGTTATAGATTATCATAACTTTTTGTTGAAGAGAAAATATTTCAGGATAATGAATGTAGGAAAAACATAATATATATAATGTAGAAAGCCAACTTCCTTTTGGCAAAATCTTGGAACATAACAGTCGAGGCAAGTAAGGTTCAAGACTATAGAGTAACCACGGAAGAACTATATAGTCAGATGCTTCACATTTTGAGTCCTTGATGATGTCAATGCTATTTGAAGGAAAGGCATTAAGACGGTGTTTGTTATGAGGTTAGATAAGACATTGAAAGGCTTTTGACCACATGAGATCATTGATGTTTTTTTATTTTTGTTTTGGTGCATAAGGGAGAGATGATTTTGATTCATTGAGATGTGAATGAGAAGCCATGTCACTATTTGGGAGAGAGAGGACAATCCAAGAAGAACTTAGTTCAAAGATATTGTGGAACTTATGAAGTTGTCATGCTTTAGAGTTGTGGGTGAATGAGTGAACACAACACTGTGAGAAAGTGTGCTAGTGAGTGCAGGAATGAGCCTGTGCATGTTAATACCATTGGGAAAGTGTGAAAGAGTGATTGAACACGTGGAGCGTTGTGATGTGAGCAAGTAGCACGAGCACAATTAAGTGAGCATGAGCTCGAGCTTGACATGCAATAAGAGCAGTCGTGTGAACAGCGGGTCGCGAGTGCAAGGGTGGGTGTAGTGAGTAGCAAATGCAGGGTGCAATGGAGACAATAAGTGAGCGAGATTAGTGTGGGGAATGTGGTGAGGTCATGAGCGAGAAATATTATTCATGAGTAAGGTAGTTTCAGTGGCTAGGGTTAGGATTGGTGATAAAAAAAGGCATTGATTTAGGTTGGCAACAGAAAGGAGGGGGGGGGGGGAATCGATAACTTGGGTAGTTGGGTTAGAGATAACCTTGCTCTGATACTATGTTATAGGAAAAGATTTTGTGTTATTCAATTTTTCTTATTTATAATAAAAGAATGAAAAAAAAGTTCTAAGGTACACCAGGATTGACATATACCACTCTCGAACTATAGAGAACCTTCCTAATATTATTATATGCTATAATACTTCAAAAATGTGAATTTCAGTGCTTTTCCATATAATGTCCCTTAATACTGCAATTTCAGGTATGTGCACAACAACATATTTTTTAGCTTTGCTGTGGATGCAGACCTTGGATTTATGTCCAAGGATCAGATGCCAAGTACTGATCTCAATCTCACTGAAGATCATGGCGATACAAAGTCTTCAAGTAATACAATCACTGAAAATTTCAGCAATGCATTTCATGGAAAGAGCAAGGACTTGAGTTCCACTGCTACGAGCACAAGGGGAGTTCAGACCATTATAGATGATAAATCTGTTGCTAGAGCTGAGGCGCAGATTGCTGAAAGTGAGCAGGCAACTTATGCTTCTGCTAATAATGATCTGAAAGGAACCAAAGCTTACCAAGAAGCTGATGTTCCTGGACTATTTAATCTTGCCATGGCAATAATTGATTACAGAGGTCATAGAGTAGTTGGGCAGGTTTGTGGAATTGTTGTTTTCTTTAGCTTATTTATATTTATCAATTCCTCTGTTTAACCTGTTTATTTTACATCTTAATTTGTTGTTCGTTAATTTTTTTGTCATAAGATTGTCTTGTCCTTTCAAGCAAAATGCCCAACAAATAAGCTGTGGCATGAATTGTTGCAACAACCCTAAAATAGATTTATAGTTTTAATGTCGAGTATATCTGGAAAGGTGCCCAATTCATCAAAATGCCATGTGAATGAAGAAACCTTCATGATAAATTTTGATGGTTAAATATATTTCATCGATGCAATGGGGGAACTTTGCACAAGTATAATGTGGTTATTTCTTGTTTGCCTTCATAAAGTTGAGATTTTGCTTTTATTCTTATCAAAATGGTTTGTGATTGAAATTGTATCTAACAGCATGACAAAGCTGCTTTGTGTTTGTGATGTCTTCTTTCAAAACATCAGGTATTGACCAACTCAAAACATGCCTTGTTATGCTTTCAAGGAAAGTAGCCATCTGTGTTTTACCTCGTTTGAGCTGAGAGTATTTTCAACTTTATTTACAAGTTTCAAACTCAAGAGAAGTACAGTAGTCTAACTCTGTAAGGATGTAAGTAGAAGTCTCCTTGTGCAAGCGCAATACTGAATAATGTGTGTACGGTTGTTCTTTGCAAGGATTACTGTTCTTGGCCAGGTTAACAATTTTGATGCCAATGAGGCTGCTAATTGTTTTTAATATGTCAATTATTTTAAATTACGTAGGAGAAGTTTTGATGCAGGACTAAATATGAAATGCATTTAATTCATATGAAATTTGCATAACTTTTGATTAGAAGAATCAAAGAACAAGACTAGTAACAGTTCAAAACAACGAATCAAAACAAATAAGGGGTCACACCCGCTTAGGCTAAATTACATATCCAGAGAGTGGGAAAAGCTTTCAAAACAATTAGTTAATCACTTAATGCCGTAGTAGTAGTTTCAAAACAATCCTTAATCTAACAATGAAAATTAGCAAGCATAAAGGCACGCTCAAAAAATCTTACGTTTACTAAGCTTAGCAGTAGCAGGGAGAGTCGTCCTTCGTGACTACAATCAAGCACAAGATAAGAGTTAGACTAGAGAAATATAATGAAAAGGGGAAAAGAGAACCTCTCGTCAAGGAGTGGTGGAGATTCTCCACTCGACGCCTTCGAAGTGCTCGTCGGTTGCTTCCACTAAGGTGTCCAGAATACGTTTCAAGTAGTCCTCGACGGTATGATCAATCCTTGGATTCACGTCGAAGAAGGGTGATCATAGAATATCGGTGAAGCCGTCTTCGTCCCAAGTCAAGCCGTATTCAATCTCTGGATCCGCCATTCATGGGAGCTAGGTAGCAAATCTCCGCTCGTCTTGCTAGGGTTCTTGGGTATTGACAAAGAGAAAGAAGTTTCTCTTGCAAGTGGGAGGGAGGAGAACCAAGACCAAAAATCTGAAAATAGTTTCAGATTTTTGCAAAGGTGGAGAGCTAATGAGGGAGAGAGAGAGAGGGGGCGGGTAGGGTATGGGGCCGGCGGCTATAAGAGGGGATGGGGAGGGGTTTGGGAATTAAATGAGGTTTCTAAAGTTAAGTTTAGGAATTAGGAAAGCTTTGAAATTATCCAATCTAATTTAAAATTAAATTGAATCTTCTTAGGAAACTTTCCTAAATAAGTAAAAGCAGAAAGGAAAGGATTTGAATTTCTGAATTTAAGTAGCTTGGATCCTAAATTGATTCCCAATTAATGGAGTTAAATTGGGAAATCCAAAAGGGGAATAGTTGAAGTGGGGTCGGCGGTTTGGGTCTTGTATGGCCGGCGGCATGCATGAGGCAGGGCGCAAATTGTGGGGTTAATTAAGGCTTCCTGATTTAAGTTTTGGGATTAGAAAAGTTTTAATTTAAATCCAAATGAATAATATATTCAAGAGGATCTCATTCAAATACTTTCCTAAAATAGAGTAGTTAAATTAGGAAAGATTTTTGGTTTAAAATTCAAAGGATTTGAATTTCAAAATCATCCCAATTTAATCATCAACCCAATTAGGAAACTTCAAGGGGAAAAAGGTGAGGCCGGCAGTGGAAGGGGTTCAGTGAGGGTGGCCGGCGGCTTGTGGGGGATGAAACATGGAGTTTGGTTAGGGGAGGATGTTGGCTTGATTTTGGAGGTGGGGTTGGATGTAAGGACTATGAAGAAGGGAGGTGAAAGGGGAAAGCGAGAAACAAAGAAGAAAACCCCGAACCCGGCCGTCTCCAAGATTGGTTGGTGATCCGATCTCCCTCTCTTAGGGATCTCTCCATAGTTCTCTCTAAGAACTCTCAAACGCTCTCAAAACACAAGTGCAGAAAAATTCTCATAATAATCATTCATTAACTTCAAACATAAGACATAAGGCTATAAATAGCTAAGTACAAGGGACTCAAGAAAATAAAAGACAAAAATTGCCCTTCGGGCTCGCATATGACAATTTCCACTAAAAGGGTACAACTGGAAAAAAATAATAAAACAAATACACGACACTGAAAAATAGAAAATACATGAATAAGAAAATAACATAAATATCTCAGAAATATAAAGACTTGATCGTGGCCGTAGATTGGCGGCCATGCCTCTGATAAACCATCCACGAGCTGATGTCCCCATCAAGTTTGCTAAAGTCTACCTAAATAATTAAAAACCATTTAGCAAAGGACGGCAGTGCCTACTCGAAATATATACTCTCTTAAGCAGATTTCGCAAGAAACTGTCTAAATTATGCTGTATTTTAGTTACTTTAGCTGATGATGTAGCTTGTGACTAATTTACTTGTGTCTTCATTTCATCTAATTCTCTTCTGAGTTTCAATGTTCTTATTCAAGTGTAAGGTTTGATTATTTTGTTTGTTCTTTTCTTGTTTTTCTTTTTGTATATAATGATTATTCCAAAGTGTCATTGGATTTATTTAGAGTTCATATTTTTGCTGCCTTGTTGGGCTTTATCAAACAGCAAAAGCAATTTTATAGTGTTTTATGTTGCTGCTGTGCGAAGAAGTTCAACTGTATGATAGCAGAATAATAGGTTTCTTATAACGGTTGGTAAGATGGTCTTCTAGAAGAAACTTTAATCAGATTTTAATTATTTATTCAATAAATAAGTAATTTGATTATTCTAATTGATTATATACTAATCAAAATTAATCCATCACATCATAATAATATAAAATTTATATGCAATATTTATTTCAGTTATTTAATCACTCGTATATTTTCACATCAGATTTTTACCGAACACGTACCTTAACGATTTTTCTGATAGTAATTTACAGAACAATTATCTGCCTTATTTCGTAGTACATGCCCATCACATCACAGCAATACCAAATGAGTCTTAGTTTATTACATATATTCTTAGCAGTTATATGATCTTAATGTTGTCATGTTCCTTATTTGTGATCTTGAATCTTTGAGATAAAGGTATCCTATGGGCTTATGTTATTGATTCCCCCAGGTTTGAGTTTTTTTTTATTTTTTTTATGAAGCATTTAATATGATAATAATTTATTGAGTTATTGTTTTCCTTCTTGTTAATCCTTTGCATACTTATTTTGAATGTTTGTCATGTTTGATTGTAGTGTGTAATTAGGGTCATTTGCTTGCATACTATCTCAAGAAGTTGGATTTCCTTAGAAGAACCTAAATCCTAGATTATTCTGCATAACATGGGTAGGAAAATGGTTGTCTAGGTAGCTTGGCTATAAAGCTGTAACTAAAATCTTACCTAAACTAAATTAAAAACCACGCGTAGAACTAGAGAAAAAGGAAAAGAAAGATTGATAAAGCTAATCTTAAATACTTGGTACAAGTCTATTAATGATGGGTGGTGTTGATAATGATGATGATATGCATTTTGGTTTTGGCAAGGAACTTGCATTCTCATGTATGAACATTATCAATGATGTCTGGGATACTTTTATGCTTTTACAAGGGATGTTGAAACAGCTCTATATTTGCTAGGTCAGTTGTCTTAGCACATCAGGTGCTCGTGTCTTTTCAACATTTTGTTCTTTGTTGTCATACTTGTGTAAGCTGGAGCAAACAGAAATAATGCAAGATCTTTGAAGTCCAATTTTCCTAGTGTGAAATATTGTTTTGGTTATGCAATGTTGCTTCATAGCTTTTTAAAATAACATTATCCTTCGAAATGACTTTCTGCATCTATATAATTTATTTTGGCTTATTTGTTTGTTACATTCTTATGAAATGTACAAAGTTTATTGTGTGAAATTTCTGCAAATGGTGTTGCTCCATCTTTTCTTTATCATCAGATGATATGTTTTGTCTGGACTAGTTTTCTTGATGCCTTTGCATTGGTTCCTGATTATTGAGGTATCAAATTGCTCTACAGAGTATTATTCCTGGCATCCTTCAAGGGGACAAATCAGATTCCCTTCTGTATGGCTCAGTTGACAATGGGAAGAAAATCTGTTGGAATGAATCATTTCACGCCAAGGTTTGTGACTTATTTATCTACATCATAAGGTGTCTGAGTATTTAAAAACTTTCCATCAAGTATAATTTTCAAGCATTATTGTTTTAATTTGCAAATGATAAGAAATTTTTTTTTCTGAAACTTCTACTGATATTTTAACACTTCATTTATCTTTTTGTTTAGAATTATGTATCTATGTAATTTGTACTTGCAAGTCTGATTGAGTTGCTCGTATATATATTTTTTTATTCGCATCTTTTAGAGTAACTTAAAGCTATCGATTAGTAATACACCATGAAATGAGATAATTGCATTACATGCTTCAGATAGGGGTATGATATTCCTTAGAAGGCCATATGCATAATATTTATTATTCTTAAATGCAAATTTGTACAACATATATTTTCCCGAATCTTTATCTAGTATTGGCTTGTTGAATCCATGAAACATAAACGTCTATGATACATGTTCCGATATGATAGGGTGGGGATGCTAAATCTTAAAAAGTAGAATATGGATTATGTGAGGTTGTATAGAGACACTTCACATGTTGAAAGTCACGCAAAGCCAAATTTATAGTTGATACTGAATTTTTTATATCCGAATTTTTGCAAATATCTTAATCCATTTATGCTCATAAACGTGCAAATTAAAACCAAAACATAGTGATATATATATATATATATATATAGTTTACTAGAATAACTTAAAAATAGAAGCAAATTTCATATATTTAACTAACCCTTTGACCTTGTTATCTTAGAAATGTATAACTATCATTTTCATACTTTTAATTAAGTGATGTGTATCATATCCGTTATGCTGTTGTAGAATGTTAAAGAATTTAATTATTCTTAGATAAGGCGGTAGCACTCACATTCTAAAATTTCCACTCTTCATAGGTATTCACAAGCCTTTTTAAAGATCCATTCTTCGTAGTTTTAGTTATCAAATGGATTTATATTATATTACTTCTTAGTTGGTTGTTTGGTACTTGTATGATAATCACAATTCATTTTTTCATTATTTTTTATCCTTCTGTTGATATGCTCATCCTTTGGCTTCTTGGAACTTTTGTATTGTCTAATATAGGTATGCGCCTCATAATGGTACTCACAGAAAGCATGCATAAAAAACACAACGCTTCAAAAGGCTCTCCTTACTATAGCATTCTAGGTTTGTATGTAAGCAACTATCCATCTGCATGAATGTTTTTTTTCTCCATTTATCTTTAGACGTATTGCATGGCTTAATCTGTGAAACCCCTTAAGTAATAGAAACCCTAACTCTTAAACATCGAGGTGCCTTTTGGCGTAATGGCTGGAATTTCCTAAGAAACTCTGCAGTTAAGCTTGCTCATCTCAGAGCAATTCTGGGATGGGTGACCTACTGGGAAGTTACACCAACAGGGCAAAACCGTGAGGCCCTTATGCCAAAGCGGACAATATCTCGATAGTTAAGTGTTTGGACTGTTACAAATGGTATCAGAGCAATACACCAGCCGGAAGATGGGAGCTAAGTGCCATACAAGGCAAAGTGCTATGCCATGGGAGCCACCTCTTGAACCCTATGTGGGACAAAGTGCTACATGACGGGAGCCACCACTTGAGCTTGTAGGGGCCACTTCTAGAGTCCTATCTGCCTGGTGGATGATTCTGGGATATAGATGCTGACGAGGATGTTAGTTACTTAAGTGGGGGAGATTGTGAAACCCCTTAATTAATATAAAGCCTAACTCTTAAACATCGAGGCGCCTTTTGGTGTAATGGTTGGAATTTCCGTAAGAAACTCCGCAGTTAAGTGTGGTCATCATAGAGCAATTCTGGGATGTGTGACCTACTGGCAAGTTACACCAACAAGGCAAAACCGTGAGGCCCTTATGCCAAAGTGGAGAATATCTCAATAGTTAAGAGTTTGGGCTGTTACATAATCTGTAGAATTTTTGAACTATAATGATGCTTGTTTAGGCTCCGAAACTTCACGCCCGACATCTTTGCTGGGAGAGTTTTATGGAATTTTTTGGGTTAATCAGAAGTGTAGATTAGATTTAAGATGTGTTACTACCTAGAGATTTCAAACTTATTTTGCTAGGGCTTTATGATATAATTTCAGGTTTTTCATAGGTGCAAGCCCTCTATGGCTAAACCCTCCTAATAACAAGAGAGAACTTTTGATTAATACTAGTTGTTAGATAAGAAATAAGTACCGAGTAATATTAACAACAAATTTGATATTGGGATTTGAATTTACTATCTTATATTTAAAGCGGATGGTGGGGGAATGATGAAGAATATGATTATTATCTCATGGTTTTGTCATCTCGAGTTGTCATGGTCCCTAGTTTATTTAGTCAAAAGATATAGTTGACTAACATGATTGAATGGTCATTGTTATTACCCATGAATTGTTTCTATTGAACCTTATGAGCCTCATAAGGTTACTAGGGTTTTGATGATCACAAATATTATTGGTTGTGATAATTAAGCAGATGAATTTGTTTGTGCATATTATTTTTTTCTTTATTTATGCTTTGTTTAAGCTTTTATTTTTTGTAAATCAAAAGACAAAGGCTAGATGATATGGGACACACATTGGATGTTAATCACAAAAGCATGATTAGCCTAATTTCAAGAAAAATGAAGTTGTCAAAGAAAAGAAGACCATCAAGGCATTAAATTTGCATTTTTTTTAATTTTTATTTTGAGTTGATTTGTATTGTGTCAGGTATATGATTTTCTAAATAACCAAGCGTACATATACTAGAGAAAATTCTGTTGAAATAAGAAAATTAAAAGTTAATTAAAATATTTGATTTATTGTGAGATCATATTGTACGATAATAACAAAAAGTGTGGCATGCTGGTGATTTTAGAAAATCAAGTTGTATAAATTAACATAAAATATAAATTAATTTTTTTTAAATTAATCATAATGTATGAATCAAGTTGGACCATATGATCAAGTATATTTAAATTCAAACTTGCCCTTATATGTCCTTTCCTTAAATTGGTAAATTTAAAATTGAGCAGGTCATACTGTACAATTATATATGAGATTTACCTTATTAAGATTCGAGAATTCAACACAGTAATTAAAAATTGAGTCACCAAAATATCGTGCTGTACGAACTATATTGTACAATATGATCAAACAGAAAGTATGCTGGTAAGTTTTTCAATCATAGATTGATCTATTGTCCTAGTGTGCTACATATTGAACTAAATTTACTGTATGATTCATACCATACAGTTTCATCAAATAGAGAGGGTTTTTGGGATTTTAGGGTAATTATATTAATTGTACTGTACGATCTCTTGATTGGGTTGTATGATCTAGCCGGAAATGTTTTATTAAACAACTTTTTAAGGGTTTTCATGTGAGCCACCTTATATATTGTTCTCTTAAAAACCCTAAGAATTTTTTAGGATGGAGTCTTTTTAAGATTTATAATAGATTTTTTAGAGTTTTTGAGAGGAGAGATTTGAAAAGCCTATGAGAAATTTTTTGAGAGAGTTCTTCAAATTTGTGTGAGGTTTTCACTTTAGTTGCTTCTCTGATCATTTCCTTCAAATCATTTGTGTTGTAGCTAAAGCTCTTGGTGGAGAGCTTTGTGGTCTTGTCGTAAAGGGTGCGAAGATCTTGGCAATGTCTTATATACCTTATGGATCTAGCTGGAATGGCTAGGGTTTTAATCTTTTTGAGGAGAAAATAAATGTAGCGATATCTCAATTATCCTATAAAGAGGAGAGGCTTCATCGCCTTATTGGAAGTAGAAGGAAGGAGTACTAGTAAAATCCCAAGGAGAGGAATTGGGGAGTGGTTGTAGGCCTGTTGGCCGAACAACAATAAATCAATTTGCGAATTTTAACTTTTTTGTTTTTGTTTTTTTATTTTTTTTTGTACTTGTCATATTGTTGTTAGAAAACAAACTTGAGATCTCAATTTTATCTTGGAGGTATGTTTAGTTGTGTAATGCTAAGTAACATTGAATTTTTTTAAAGAGAAACAAATATTTCATTTAATCACTTTTATGCATAATCCTTGAAAAGAAAAGCTTTAATATATTTTGTACGAATGAAAATAATATGGTATTCATTATTCACAAATGAGATAAAATTGTTGTTTGAAGTTATTGCTCTTGATAGTTTTTCCGAGACAGACCCACTCAAGCACGACAAAGCATCGAGCGAACGACACGATGTCACACAAATTTTGTGTTATGCATCGAAAAAAATTTCAGAGCACATTCAGAACAACCAAAACAATTAAGATCGGCACATATATTGGTTGGGATTTTCAATCAACAAAAGTCAAAATTTTTGTCTGCACGAAATGAGGACAAATTCAATGCGGGCGAGCGACGAAGTTTTGATGAACTGGTCGATGCATGCTTAACATAAATAAATATTTACTATTATTTTAAATGCTAACTTTATATATAATCAATCAATATCAATTAAAAAATAAAATCCTAAATAACCATCCATTAAATCACTAACTTAAACCCCTTCATACCCCACTAATCCAACTACTTAAATTCCCCAACCCGACTCCCAAGCCATTATAACTTCTCACATGGATAAAACACCAAGCAACAACACGCCTCTTTCTCACTCGATTACCTTAATCGAGTTCTGCATATGCTCGTCCTTCGCCTAGTTTCACCCTCTCTCGTGTGACACCTCTCAACACCCCTCTCTCCCTCTTTCATTTTCTGTGTGATGCGACCCAGGCTGACCAGCCAACAGCCTCTGATCTTGCCCAACTCGACCTTCTGCAGGCGCTAGCCACGCTGTCACGTGATCATCTAGATAAACCAGCCCTAACCATCGATTGCCCCTCTCCTTCTTACTTCTTCTTTTTCTTCGTCATCATCGTCTTCATGTATTTTTTCTTCTTCTTTCATCATATTTTCTTCCTTGACTTCACCCTCTCCACCTGTCTTCCTACACCTCACAACATCTCTTTTCTCCATAAGTCTCTCTCATCTTTTCTCTCTCTAACATAACACAAGCTCTCTC